TTTGATTACTCTAGGTCAAGTCGGCATAAGGAGGGGGGAATTGTTGGGTATTCTAAAAGGCATTAGGGTGGACAAGTCCCCAGGTTCGGATGGGATCTATCCCAGGTTACTGAGGGAAGTGAGAGAGGAAATAGCTGGGGCCTTAACAGTTATCTTTGCAGCATCCTTGAGCACGGGTGAGGTCCCGCAGGACTGGAGAATTGCTAATGTTGTCCCCTTGTTTAAGAAGGGTAGCAAGGATAATCCAGGAAATTATAGACCCGTGAGCCTGACGTCAGTGGTGGGGAAGCTGCTGGAGAAGATACTGAGGGATAGGATCTACTTACATTTGGAAGAAAATGGACTTATTTGTGATAGGCAGCATGGTTTTGTGCAGGGAAGGTCATGTCTTACCAACTTGATAGAATTCTTTGAGGAACTGACAAAGTTGGTAGATGAGGGAAGGTCTGTAGATGTCATATACATGGACTTCAGTAAGGCATTTGAAAAGGTCCCCCATGGTAGGCTGATGGAGAAAGTGAAGTCGCATGGGGTCCAGGGTGTACTAGCTAGATGGATAGAGAACTGGCCGGGCAACAGGAGACAGAGAGTTGTAGTGGAAGGGAGTTTCTCAAAATGGAGAACTGTGACCAGTGGTGTTCCACAGGGATCTGTGTTGGGACCACTGTTGTTTGTGATATACATAAATGATCTGGAGGAAGGTACAGATGGTCTGATTAGCAAGTTTGCAGATGACACTAAGATTGGTGGAGTAGCAGGTAGTGAAGGGGACTGTCGGAGAATGCAGCAGAATATAGATAGATTGGAGAGTTGGGTGGAGAAATGGCAGATGGAATTCAATCCAGGCAAATGCGAGGTGATGCATTTCGGAAGATCCAATTCAAGAGCGAACTATATGGTAAATGGAAAAGCCCTGGGGAAAATTGATGCACAGAGAGATCTGCGTGTTCAGGTCCATTGTACCCTGAAGGTGGCAACGCAGGTTGATAGAATGGTCAAGAAGGCATACGGCATGCTTTCATTCATCGGATGGGGTATTGAGTACAAGAGTTGGCAGGTCATGTTACAGTTGTATAGGACTTTGGTTCGACCATATTTGGAATACTGCGTACAGTTCTGGTCGCCACATTGCCAAAAGGATGTGGATGCTTTGGAGACGGTGCAGAGGATGTTCACCAGGATGTTGCCTGGTATGGAGGGTGCTAGGTATGAAGAGAGATTGAGTAGATTAAGATTATTTACATTAGAAAGAAGGAGGTTGAGGGGGGACCTGATTCTACAAAATCTTGAGAGGTATAGACAGGATGGATAGCAAGAAGCTTTTTCCCAGAGTGGGGGACTCAATTACTAGCGGTCACGATTTCAGGGTGAGAGGGGAAAAGTTTAAGGGAGATATGCATGGAAAGTTCTTTACGCAGAGGGTGGTGGGTGCCTAGAACGTGTTGCCAGGGGAGGTGGTAGAGGCGAGCACGATAGCATCACTTAAAATGTGTCTAAACAGATACATGAATGGGCAGGGAGCAGAGGGATACAGATCTATTGGAAAATAGGTGACAGGTTTAGATAGAGGATCTGGATCGACACAGGCTTGGAGGGCCGAAGGGCCTGTTCCTGTGCCGTAATTTTCTTTGTTCTTTGTTCTTTGTTTTTAATCCCTCCTCCACACAATATCAATAGATAATGCCCCATCTGTGAGCTACAGAGCATGTCAATGCCCTGGACAAGACACACACTGGACTGATTGGAGCATAAGCCCTGGAGCAACTACAGCCCAGCTCCAGACAGACTACAGCCCAGAGCCAGACACTGAGTAGGAGGGCCATCACAAAGGAGAACATGCTGGAGAAGCTAAAAGTTCTGAAGGTGGATAGATCACCCAGGCCAGATGGACTACACACCAGAATTCTGAAGGAAATAGCTGAAGAGACTGTAGAGGGACTGGTGGTGATCTTTTAGAAATCACTAGAGTGAAGGAGGGTCCCAAAGGACTGGAAAATGGCTATGGCAACATCCCAGTTTAAGAAGGGAGGGATGCAGAAGATATTAAATTTTAAGCCGGTTAGCCTGACCTCGGTCATTCGTAAGATTTTGGAGTCAATTATTAACAATGAAATTGCAGAGTACAGGTAGTTCTGCTATATGCGCATTTCATTAATGCCAATTGGCTGTAATGTAATTGATGATTAGAGGACTCTGTTTGGATGAAGGGAATTTTCTAGTGAACAGGTATAGCGATTTCCCTACAACATGATTTTCTATGGCGACTTTCTATAGCGTGATATTCTACAGCGCAAGGTCACACAAGAACACAACTATCGCGTTATAGGAGAACTACCTGTACTTGGAAGCGCATGATAAAATAGGACTGAGTCAGCATCACTTTGTTAAGGGGATTTCATGCCTGATAAATCTGTTAGAATTTTTTGAGGCAATAATAAGCAAGTTAGACAAAGGACAGTCAGTGGATATGATCAATTTGAATTTCCAGAAGGCCTTTGACAAGGTACTGCATAAGACGCTGCTGAATAAGAAAAGAGCTCATGGTGTTAGGGTCAAGGTACAGGCAGGGATAAAAGATTGGCTGACCGGCAGAAGGCAAAGAATGGAGATAAAGAGGCCCTTTCTCAGGATGGCAACTAGTGACTAGTGGAATTTCACAGGTGTCAGTGTTAGAACCACAACTATTCATGTTATATATTAACAAAGAATTGAGAACATTGATTGCTGAGTTTGCAGATGACACCAAAATAGGTGGAGGGACTGGTCATGTTGAGGAAGTGGGAGGCTACAGAAGGACTTGGACAAGCTAGGAGAGTGGGCAAAGAAGTGGCAGATGGAATACAATGTGAGAAAGTGTGAGGTAATGCACTTTGGTAGGAAGAATCGAATCATAGACTATTTTCTAAATAGGGAAAGGAAATCTGAAACACAAAGGAACTTCTGAGTCCTAGTTCAAGATTCTTTTGAGGTTAACATGTCGGTTCAACTGCCAGTTAGGAAGGCAAATGCAACGTTAGCATTCATTTCAAGAGGGCTAGAATACAAGAGCAGAGATGTACTGCTGAGGCTGTCTCAGGCTCTGGTCAGACTCACTTGGAATATTATGAGCAGTTTTAGGCCCCGTATCTAAGGAAGCTTGTGCTGGCATTAGAGGGTGTCCAGAGGAGGTTTGCAAGAATTTTTTTTGTTCACTTGTGGGATGTGGGCGTCGCTGGCTGGCCAGCATTTTGTTGTCCATCCCGAGTTGCCCTTGAGAAGGTGGTGGTGAGCTACAGTCCAGACTAGTAGGAGTAGAGCTGGAGAGACCATTAGGAGAGACTACTGCCTGAGGGCACTGCCTCAGAGAGAAAGGATTATCCTTTAGAATTGAGATGAGAGGAAATTTCTTCAACCAGACGGTGTTGAATCTGTGGAACTCATTGCCACAGAAGGCTGTTGAAACCAAGTCATGGAGTGCATTCAAGATAGAGATAGATAGCTTCTTGATTGGGAAGGAGATCAAGGGGTACAGGGAGAAGGCAGGAAAATGGGATTGAGAAACATATCAGCCATAATCGAATCGTGGAGCAGACTCAATGGGCCAATTGGCCTAATTTTGCTCCTGTATTAATTTGCTCCTGGTTTAATCATCTGCGTACTTCATCCTTCAGTCAGAAGCTGCCCTCTGTTTTATGTGAAATATCCTGCATTTCTGCCAGAGGCTGCCCTCTATTTGTGAAATTCCCTATCTGTTGGTCAAAATCTTCCCTATGTATACTGTGAAATTTCCTGTCCATCAGTCAAAAGCTGTTCTCTGATTGCTGTGAAGTACCTTGTCCTTCCATCAAAAAATGCCCTCTGTTTGGTTTGAAATACCCTGCCCTCTTGTTAGAAGCTGCCCTATATTTATTGTGAAAAGCCCCGTTTACCAGACAGTATCTGGCCTCTGTTTATTGTGAAATACCACATCCTTTAGCCAGAAGCTGCATTTTGTTTGTTGTAACCTCCTTAAAAATGGCCCATATCAAGAATTCCCCGAACATCACATTTCCATTCTCAACTGGCAAAGCTAATTCATAATTTCACGTGCCTCTCATGTAACTTTCTTACCATATAGTATTTAGAAAATAAATTTCAGACAATCAAACTTGGGCAATGAAAATCATAAATCCTTATATTCTGTTTTTTTTTAAAATAAGACACAATAAGCAGTCCAGATTAAAATACTTTTACAAATTGAGGAAACTAATTGGCTGCATTGACATTGTACAATTTTTTATATGCTTTCTGCTTAAATATTTCCAGAAGTGAATGATCTGTTTTTGTTTTTATAGTTGCTGTCATTGGTGTGCAATTTATCTGCAATTTTTGAAGAAGTGTGTCATGAAAATTAAAGAAAGAAGAGAGGCTAGGTTGCTTCTGTTATTGCTTCTGTTAGCATTGATCCTTGTAGCAGACATTTAGATAAATAATATAAACAGCGTCCACATGCTTTTCTGAAAGGAAACTCATTTATCACAAATTTATTTGAACACTATGAAGATGTTATCAAAGAGAGTCCAGAGTTTTTGGATTTCCAAAAGATATTCAGTAACAATGCCACATAAAAAAATGCCACACAAAATAAGAGGGCACAATATTTAGTTTGCATTTAGCAAGAACAGGACTGAATACAGAGCAGGAAACAGAGGGTCCGGGTAAACAGCTCATTTTCAGGTTGTCAAACTGTGGAATGCTGCACGAATCAATTCCAGGACCTCAACCATTCACAATCCATATCAATGACTTGGATAAACAAATAGTTTTATTATACTCAAGTGTGATGACAACAATAAGACAGATTGGGAAGGTCTTTGATTTGTAATATTAAAGCTATTTTTCTCTCCATAAATAATACCAGAGTATTTCACCACAAATGATGGGTAATTCCAACGTTTTCAGTTTTATTTCAGATTTCTGGCACCTGCAGTACTTTGCTTTTGTTTCAGCCACTTGCAATTGTTCACTATGCTATTCTGCAGGTACTTGGGGAGGTGACAGTTAGTGCACAAGCAGCAGAGCTGGTTAAGAATGAAGTCCTGATCGTAAAAATTAAGGCCCAAAAAATTGTGGAAGAAATTGAAGCGGACAAAAATATAGCAGAAGGCAAACTGATAGCTGCAAAGCCAGCACTAGAAGCTGCAGAGGCTGCTCTGAATGTGAGTATCGTAGCTAATTGATACAAGAGTGATTTCAGGAGCTACCTTATTGAATCGTGGAATAGTTCTATAAAAGAAACCATGGAACCATTGTTTCCATGTCCAGAAATTCCACTAAACCATTTATTACCCTCCACCACCCCCTGTTTTCCTGTACCTCTGCATTTTCTGCCTTATTTTTATTCAGATAATTATCTGATTCCCTTCAGAAATTCAGGATTTAATTTGCATACTCACAGACTGTGCATTCCACATCTTAATTATTGTAAAATGCACTTAGTTCCTGAAAGCAATAACTGATATCACAAGAAAAGTTCTGCCCATCAGGATATAAAGGAACCAACCAATGTTCCAAGTTCTAAATTCAATGCTAAGATCTATGTAGCTAAATAGGAATGTTACTGACTCTTAATTCCAGTGTAAGATTTCACAAGAGACTTTTATGTAATTCGTCCATCAGAAGAATCCATCTGTATCCATCAGAGCTTGACACAACATGTGAATGTATAGTATGTAAAGTGTGAGTGTCACCTGTAATTAGAGGCACCTCTAAGTGTCAGATATTATGGTGTCAAAACTGAACTGTGTTGAACATTCTGTAATGTCAAGTTGTAACAGTATGTAATATATTTTCAGAAATTCCGTATATGAATTATAATTTCTGGGAAAAATAAACAATTGTAATGGGTGGAAGAGGCTATTCTCTTAAACCAAGGAAGTGGTCCCTTGAGCACAGATATAGGGCCATAAAAACCACAAGGCCTTCAGCCACTAAGAGCAGAATTCTGTAGCAGTAACAGAAAATATATGAAGTTCTGTCAACATTTCCATTGGTACCACACACACTTGGAGACAGTTTGCAAGAGTTCACCTCAAACATGAGTGCCATGAAATCTGAGGCCTCAGTGATTATATCCATGTCCCTGAAAAGAATGGTCACCTCCACTGAGAATATGCCATAGCAGCCAATAGAGTGCATGCTTGACCTCACCATATTCTAAAAGCTCAGGCTATCACTTTAGGTAGAATGGAGGATAGAATCAACTTAGCTGGTCAAAGTCTTATTAAATGCAGTAAAGCATTCTTCAGCTCTTGGCTAGCAGGGAAGTATCAGTGGGATTTGAGAAGGAAGATGAAGAAAGGGTGCAAGGAAACGGAAAAGCTATGCACGATCTTCACTTTTACACTTGTGGAATTTGCCCCATCGGTCCAAGTGTTGCAAAGTTGGGTAGAGTATTTGTGGATTGAGGGGCAGGACGTTAGAATTTGGTGTTTATAAAATGCTAGGGAAAGCATTGTGTGGTCCCTTTAAAGGTTGTGTTTTTTCTATGCTTGGAGATGTCTGTGAGCAGCTTGAAAGTTACAAGTACAGCAAGCATGTGAATTGAAACATTTGTATCGAAAGGCTATACCGTTAGCAGGTCAAGCAACATTTTTACCAAGACAACAGGTTTTTAAATTTAGCCAACTTGAACCAGGCACTTAGATACCAAAAATGTATCAAATTTGAATCTGATGGTTTTAACAACCGAGGATCAGTCCAATTATAAGAAATTGATATGTCATCAGGGGTATAAAAGAAGGGGGCAGTTGGAAAATCAGCAGAGCTAACTGCTCTCTGCTAGAGATAATAGCTCTTAGAGAAAGCGCCATTTATTCACAATGGTACCATAGCACTCCTAACTAAGATTCCTGGCAGAAGAATTGATAGAGAAAGCATTCCTAACAGAGGAATTGACAGAGAAGACACTGAACATTCCAAAAGAAGTAGCCTGGCTGTAATTTCAAGAGACTAAATTCTATTGTTTTGTTATATATGTGGGACTTTATTTATTGGAACAGCATACTATTAGAATCTTGCATTATTCAGGAATAGTTAGTAGTTAGAAGGGATTTGTTCAGTTTGTTAATAGTTCAATTAATTTTTTCACTGTTAGAGTTAGATAAATAAATTCTTACTTGTTGACTGTAATGTGAGCGTCAGGTGTTTATTTTTTTAAACACCAGAAGTTGCTGAAAGGCAGCTTACACCCTGTTCACACTCCTTTTAACAGATTATAGGGCAAGGTGCTCCTGGTTCGGTGTTTTGGTTTTGGGGCTCAGAGAGGGGTCAACCTCTGCTTTATAACAGATTGGTGGCTCAGGTCTGGGATCTGACCAGCTTAGGTCCAGGATTTCAGAGATAGTAGGAACTGCAGATGCTGGAGAATCTGAGATAACAAGGTGTAGAGCTGGATGAACACAGCAGGCCAAGCAGCATCAGAGGAGCAGGAAAGCTGACGTTTCGGGCCTATACCCTTCTTCAGAATTTCTGAAGTTGGGTCTAGGCCCGAAACGTCAGCTTTCCTGCTCCGCTGATGCTGCTTGGCCTGCTTTGTTCATCCAGCTCTACACCTTGTTATCTTAGGTCCAGGATTTGGCAGGTTGGGACAGATTGGCTCCAGGATAGGGGCAGCATGGTGGCTCAGTGGTTAGTACTGCTGCCTCACAGTATCAGTGACCCGGGTTCGATTCCACACTCAGGCGTCTGTCTTTGTGGAGTTTGTACATTCTCACTGTGTCTATGTGGGTTTCCTCCCACAGTCCAAAGATGTGCAGGTTAGGTGGATTGGCCACGCTAAATTGTCCAATAGTGTTCAGGGGTGTATGGGTTATAGGGGAATGGGTCTGGGTGGGATGCTCCAAGGGTCAGTGTGGACTTGTTGGGCCAAAGGGCCTGTTTCCACACTGTAGGGATTCTATGATTTGGATGGACCTGGATGGTTTCGAATAGATTTAGGGTATGAAAGGTCCCTGCAGTTTTAAATGGACTTGGAGACTATTGTCTTAGATCTTTAAATAAATCTTAGGGAAGAAGTGGTAAATCTGCTTAATTTTAGTTGCTTGTTGTTGGTTCAATCAAAAGTGAGGTAATGGCTCTTTCAGTCACTAAGGGTTTCCTGGGGGTGGAAGAAGTTACTTTGGGGTTTTAAAAATTTATTTGGGGTTTTAAAAAAAGGTGAGCAAGGAAAAGCTGCTGCAATTGGCCGACAAGCTAGAGTTGGGGTTGCCTTTGCCTGTGAGAAAAGAAGAGGCAATTACAGCAATAGCTCAACATTTAAATTTGCTGGATATGCCATCAGAATCTTTGGAAATGGCCAGAATTCAATTGCAGATGAAGCAGCTTGAACAGGAAAGGGAGCTGAAACTGTTTGAATTACAGTTACAAGCAGAGGAAAGTCAAAGAGAAAAAGAGAGAGTCTGAACTTCAGAAGTTGCAAATTAGACAGAAAAGCCAACTTAAAATGATGGAAATGAAGGTAGAAGATAGGCTTAGTGAGGAGGAGGGTGAAAAATAGCAAACCCGTCGTAGCCATAGATCTGGTAGGGATATATACAAATATGTCAAAACATTGCCAAAATTCGATGAAAAAGATGTAGAAGCCTTTTTCATTTCTTTTGAAGAATTGGCTTAGCAGATGAACTGGCCAGAAACGGTGTGGGTAATGTTAATTCAGACCAAGTTGGTATGCGGGGCTGGTGAGGTGTTTGCCGCACTGTCAGAGGAGATGTCAGGAGAATATGAAGAAGTAAAACTGACTATTTTGAGTGCCTACGAATTAGTACTGGAAACATATAGGCAACAGTTCAGAAATATAAGAAAGGAACCAAGTCCGACTTATATCAAGTTTGAAAGAATTAAACAGAGCAACTTCGATAGATGGATGAGAGCATTAAAGATAGAAAAGACATATGAGGCTCTTAGAGAGATTATTCTGCAGATGGAGTTTAAAAACTCACTTCCGAAAGTGATAAGAACTCAGGTTGAGGGACAGAAAGTTCAAACAGCGAGAAGAGCTGCAGAGATGGTGGATAAATACACATTAGTACATAAATCGAAATCTAGCTTCTGACAGCAATTTCATTCCGTGAGGGATAGAAATTGGGAATGAGGGGGATCTTTCAATGAAAAACAAAAAGTAGATCACACTGGGAACAGTTTGTTACATGTGAAAAAAGAAACCCAACGGTGTGGAAAAGAGGTGAAAGACCTCAGGGATTTTCACTGCAATAAGGTGGGACACACAAAGTCACAGTGCTGGTGGTTTAAGAAAGGCACTGGGAAAAAGGATGTGGTAAAAGAGGCTAAACCAGTGGGATTATTTAAGGTAGTGAAGGAAATCCCAAGAGAAATCGAGGAGCTGCAGGAGAGTGCACAGCCTCATCATGGGCTGGATAGTGAGATGGTGCCTGATCTTTTCAAAGACTTCACCTGTGTGGGTAAGGTTTACTCAGGTAGAACAAGGGAAGTAGGTAAAGAAATAAAAATTTTGATAGATCTCTAATAGTAAGAGATGAAAATATTTGCACCCTTTCTGAAATATTGCCCAAGAGAGTGATAATCTGTGGAATGAATGGAGAGAGAATTAGTGTCCCCTGTGTAAATTAAGGCTAGAAAGTCCAATCAAGACTGGGGAAGTGATAATGGGAGTGATTGAAAAATTGGCCATTTCAGGAATACAGTTTGTTCTTGGAAACAATATTGCCGGATCACAGGTGGGAGTGATGCCCCTTGTAGCGGACAGGCCAAAAGAAAACTAGGGAACCGAGGAGTTAAAAGGAAAATACCCTGGAACTTTTCTGGAATGTGTGGTGACAAGATCCCACAGCCATAAGTTAAAACAAGAAGGGAAAATAAAAGAGAAAGATGAAAAAGTTGAAGTCCAGTTCGCTGACACTCTGTTTGATGAGATGGTAAAGGAAAATCCTCACCAGGTGGAGGATCAGGCAGAGGTGTTTAGTTCTAAAGATTAATGGAGTTACAGCAAAAAGATGAGACAATAAAGGTTTTATATCATAAAGCCTACTCAGAAAAGGAATTAGAATGTATTCCAAAATGCTGTTACATTAAGGATAAAATCTAAAAGTAGAAATGGAGACCTTGGCAGATTGGTGCAGATGAGAAATGGGTGAAAGTTCACCAGATTGTGTTGCCAATAGCATACAGACAGAAATTATTG